ATTCGTGCGAATAAATTTCCCATTAATGTTCATTTTCAAGGAAAACATTTAAGTTCCATTGAATTACTATATAATAAAAGAGCATAAATTCGTGTTAATTTCAATTCAATTTCTTTTGATGTATTTAAGTGGTTGCAATTATTTCTAGGTTCATTATGAACAGAGCTTTGCCTGCAAAAGTTCTATTTTGCCATTTTTGGTATTCTTGGAAGTGCTGAACCCAAATGAAAACAGACTAAATACACTTAATCATAAAAACAATATGCGAATAATTGAATTCGATTGAAATGAAAGATGCATAGAATGTTTTAATTGCATACGAAAAACCGCAAAACCCTAACTGCACGTCCGGTTTGCATCTATCATGGCCGCACCCACACATTGACATTGACATATAGCAATTACACATGACATATGTGTACACACACACGCACACACGAAGGTACACAAAAAAAAAAAAAAAAAAACAGATATACAGATACACATGTGTGTGTCGAATGTAAGTGCGCATGTAGAGTGGCCGTTAGGGGCGACCCAGACCTGGCTAAAAGGCATCCACGCCCATAAATCAACGACTGTGTGAAATAATCAAATGGTGGCATCTGCATAAATACGGCCAATTGATTTATTTGCACGAAAATAAACCAATTCTATTGCTGATTTTTGGCCAAATTGTAAAATGGTCTGGCTATTTTTACACCAGCTCGAAATAAATTGAAAGGAAATCGACGATTTCTTGTTCTTCCTTCTGTTGTTGCAGTTGTTGTTGTTTTTGAGCTTGAGCCAAACGCGTCGACCACATTGTCATCGCTGTACTGGCTCTACGTTTTCTCCCCCTCTCCTTCTTCTTGTTGTTGTGTGTGTTGACCTTGTCACAAATTTTCAGTTTTCTTTAATTCTCTTGCATTCTTTCATTAGGCGCAAGTTTCTGATCTGATCCACTAATTCTGCTGCTTCTTCTTTACTCTCTCCTCCCTGCCCGATTCGAAATGTGTGGCAACACTGTGGGAAAATTGTCCAACAAATCTATGCGTCATTGCCATTTCGTCATTGTTGTCGTGCCTCTTCTTCTGCTCACTTTCTCCGTCTTTATTTTTGTGTATTTCAACTTGTCATCAATCTTAAGTACTTTTTAACGCGCATGCATTCCCCTGATGGTGGGCGCAAGTTTCTGTGTAAACGCTGCGACCACTGTACTTCTGTTAATCTTCGAAATGTGTGGCAACTCTGTGGCAACATACTTTACAAAATCTGTGCGTCATCGTCATTTCGTCATCGCTGTTCTGCCTCTACTTCTTCGCCCCCTTCTTCCTTCTTCTTCTTTTTATGTGATTGACCTTGTCACTAGTCCTAAGTTTTCTTTTATTTTCATGCATTCTATTTTGTTTTTGGCATGGGTTTGTTTCTGATCTGATCCAATAATCCTGCCGCTTTTTCTTCACTCTCTGCTGCACTCTCGTTACCTTCGAAATATGTGGCAACTCTACAAAATCTGTGCGTAGCTCTCGAAACTTTTACTTGGATTTAAGCAAATATTTTTTATTTATTATGCTTGATCTGGTTGCTCAGCTGCCAGCAAAATTTAGTTTCTGTTTTCTTTTCTTTTTTTTTTTTAGCGGGGGGGAGGGCGTATAAAAAAACTTGTGAATGTTGGGCCCGTAAATCAGTTTGGTTTGTCGCCGGGTCGGACAATATTAATAGGCCAAAGATTTGGAAATATTTTTAGCTATGCCGCAAACAACATTTTGTGTGTGGGTTTTGCATAGAAATGCTTTCAATGGAATCAAATGGAAAATTCTGGCAAAATACCCAAAAGAAAAGATTTCGTAAAGGTCCATTAGAAAACGTTTTACGACTGCGCAAATTACTGAGCGGATATGTTATGATTTCATAAATATAATTTTAATTCACAAAAAATTATAATTTTTGTCGATCTAAGTTAAGAACCTTGGGTAAAATCGGAAAATCATACTTATAATAAGAACTTATTCCGGGCAGTCATAAATGATTATAGATCTAAGCAATAAAGTTTTCTGATGTCTTTATATGCATACCATGTGAATATATATAGATGTATATATATATATATATATAAATATATATATAGGGATGCACTTTTATAGCACTTGTGATTCTTGGCAGCTGTTGACCCAGTTGGAACTTGGCCATTAAGTGAATTTTTGTAATTAATTTTACGGGGCGCGTTGAAGCCCTCAAGAGTTCCGCATGTTTGTTAACAGACCGAAGCGGCAAACATTTTCTTGGCCAAAATGGGCGTGTTCGCCATGAATGCTTCGACTGCGGATTTGCGAATTTGTCTATTGGCATTTCTGGGTTAAGCTAACTGGGCTAAGTGTGGCTAGGTACACAGTTGGCTTTGTGCGGCTGCCTGTTTGGGCCGCAATCAATTTGGCTTTGGGCTTACGTAAACAATGCGCTTTACGGAACTTGCGGATATAAGTATCTATATACGTTTATGTTTACTTACCATATTGTTATCAAAGACCTGCATGGCGGCTGCTGATGCTGCTGCAGCGGCTGTTAGGGAATGGAATATTGAGGAGATGCTCGTTTAAATCCTTTCATATATAATTACAGGGTATTCTCTTTGTCAATTCACTCACTTTCACAGCGTAGCTTATTATATAAATTAAATGAGTTCCAAGGAACGGGTTGCTAAAGAATTTGGAAAATATTTCAAAATCGTTTTTCGCGTTCGGCTCGTGGCTGGGCGCACTGAAACACGACGTGGAACAAAGCGAGGAGCTGCCTGAGGCTGGCCGATCGCTGCCTGCAGCTGGCAGACGTGCGCAGTCGACGCCAGCGTCGCTGTCGGCGTCGACGCCGTCATCTGTTGTATTTCAAAATGGGCTGCAACGTACGAAAGCGCCGCGAGATTTGTCGTTTTGATTTTTTAAAAATATATCTCAAATACATGGAAATGCGTATGTAGATACAGGCACAGACAGAGATACACCTACAGATAGTGATACATATATGTATATTTGTTTGAATTTATTTATTTAAATTTGTGTGCCGCACAACTGCGGCTGACGCAGACGCCATGAATGTTCCGCATTTAAATATGATTATTATTAATATTTTTGCACTGGATATTTATTTTCCACAATTCTCATGTATGCTGGCCTATAAGAATGTGTAAATACATTTATCTAGCTTCACTTTTGGCGGTAAATACACACACACATCGGCAGACTAGACAGCAGCCATCACATTTGAATATTGCTTTAAAAACTCGGGCACATTGAATAAAAAAACGCATTAATATTTATGAGTCTGTGAGAGGGCGCTTTGCTATTGACCCCCAATGCTTTGCTCCAGGGTTCACTGGAGTTTTTTCTTCTTCATTATTTTTGTACCCTGAACCCATTAAAAATGGGTATAAGGGTATATTGTATTTGTGAAATATCCAAATGTATGTAACAGGCAGAAGAAAGCATCTCCGAACCCATAAAGTGTATATATTCTTGATCAGCATCAATAGCCGAGTCGATCTAGTCATGTCCGTCTGTCGTCCGTCCGTCCGTATGTATGAGCTATAGACTTGAATTTTAGATGTAGGTGCTCCTAGTGCCTGCGCAGATCGAGTTTGTTTCCGACAATCGATAACTTACTCCGTTTCCAAGCAATCGATAAAAGTCGATATCGATATCCGTATCATGTCACGAAACATGATATGTTGCTTCTAAAATAGAATATATATATGCATTTGATGTTGGAATAAGAGGGTTTAGGGTATCCCCTAGTTGGGAGTTCCCGACTAGAACCTCTTACTTGTTATTTATATTTATGTGTACTTTTTGGGTTAGTTCAGTATGCCGTAACTTTTCTTGTTTTCATTTTGATATTGTTCATTTACAAATTGCATTTTCGCTTTTTATTAAAATGCTCTGACCAGGACTTGCTGCATATACGAAATGCTGTCGGTATCTGGATATGGCATAAAATTCAACTATAAGCTGTGGGTGGGCAAAACAATATTCTCTGCTACACGAAATTGCAATAATAATTCAAATGCATTAAATTTGTGTGTTTGCATTTGCCACAAATTTAAAGCTGAATCGATCTCGGGCTTTTCTGAAAGCTCTGATCAATAAGGATCAAATGGGCCATGCCTGGCCTTAAGGTTCAGCTCTGTTTGCACATCTCAAAAGTTTGTGTAGAACAATTAAAGTATCATATTCCGTACTGAAAAATAGTCGTTAGTGCAATTGCTGAAAGAAATACAAATTTCAATATTATTTTCAATTATTCAACTAAAAATATTGGTTTCAACCAAACCACGGTCTTTGGCTAGTTGTTTTTAATTATCTGAAGACCCAACCAATAAACTTTTCGCATTTTTTGTAATTTTTCAATTTGTTTTTTTATTTATTTATATTATTGTTTGCCCAACAATAACAATAACAACAAATGTTAGCTAAAGCGCTCACTTTTAAGACCTCCTGCTGCTGCACAAGAACATCGGGCATCGCATTATTGGAAAAGATATGGAAACATAAATGTAGCATGTACGCATATACATAAGTATATACATATATGTTTTACTGAATATGTATGTGTGCATAAATATTTGCTTAATTTATGTATTTATATTATAAAATTTGTTTGTGCAACGTGTTGTTTTTGCTGTTCCTGCTTTTCATAGCTGCTGTGCGCGTTGTCTGTCCAATTAACAACATTGTTTTTTATGAATGTGCTTCTATATGTGCTACGAACTTTGTGTGTTCGCGAGTGTGCCTGTTGCATTTTAAAATAGCTCGGCTAATGGCTGAAATTGTTTTTGGAAAACGGTTTTTAAGAATTTTCGCCGCGACGACACTTGAAAAGTTCTGAAAGTGATTTATGAATTGCGCACAGTGCCAAAATGAACATAAGACGCAACAAACTAACCGTATGACAATCAATCAGCGCCGGCAATGTATTAATTGTAAATAATAATATTGTTATTGTAATATTATTAATAAGTATAAAGTAGCACACATGTCGAAAACAGTAAAATGAACGACAAGGCTGTCACATATATTGTTTGACTTGCTAAAATTCTAAATTCTGGCAGAATGGCCCCCAAAAAAAAAAAGGGAAAAATCGTTGATTGGGCCGATGATGAACATTTCTCCAAGGATCGCAGCATATTCTACATAGAGCACACCACGGAATGTCCCATCTTTCAGGTGAAGGCCGACGAGTGTTTGACCTTTTTCCAGCAGCGCATTCCGGAGCGCGAGTTCCAGCTGGTGCGCAACAAGAATGGCAAACAGGTGCCCCGGGATGGAGCCTTCGAGGTCTGCATTTCACAAAATGCGCGCACATCCGAGCACGAGCTGTGGTCTGGCATAACCCGAGGACCGCCGCGGCGTGATAAGTTTCCGCAGTACGAGGATCTGGTTTCGGATGTGCATCGCGTTCTAAGGAAGTTCTATCCGGACAAGGCTGTTGGCATCGATGATGATGAAATGGATATGTGACTGGCTCATTAAAAGGCAAAAAATCCGCAGCGAGGGCTCAACAATGAAAAGGCATTAAAAAACATGATTTCGTTTTTGGAATTTTAACGGTTATATTTACATAACAATGCGGTAAGAATATAAAGCTAATGCGTCTTTTTGTCAAATAACACAAAACACAAAAATACACCAACACATAAGCACGCGCACTTACACACACACACTCTCGCCTGTTTGAAAAGTTTTCAGCACACACACTCACACACACACACACAATCAACTGATTAGCAGGCGCGCTTTTCCCATACCCTGTTGAATATTTAGCATAGGGTATGTAAGGCAGCTTTGTGTATCGCTGTGAAAGAAACGGTGCATAATATTTAAATCTACTTGTCAGTAACTATTTTGAGAAACTTTCAACTGACTTAATTATGTGTGCAGCGCTTAATATTTCATCACAAAAAGCGGAATCTGAGTAATAAGAGAATGTGGCTCGTTGTAGGGAATTTTCATAATCGAGCTAACGCATTTTAATTTATATTTCATTGTTGGCCATTGTTATTACCTGACAGGTGCCGTCCTGTCGTCGCCGTTTGACAGCTTAAAACGCTAAATTCAAGCCAGATAATTAACACACCCAATGTAGACAAAAATAAATACAATTGTGATAAGTGTGCCGCAGCGTCGTCCCATTGTCTGGGGCCACGGTGAATCTGCCCGCTATTCATGTGCTACTCCCAACCCGTCTGTTGACAGAACAAATAGCCAAATGCAATTTCAATATACACAACAAACGACACAGAAAAAAAGAAGCTAAAACAAATATCAATGCAAACTATTTGATTTGATAACAAAATGGCAAACAAAAAAACTAACCCATATATGGCAAATAAATTAGAAAATTGCATCACACAAGTGAACAATGGTAATAATACCGAGCAAATTGAAGCGAAAATTTATAAGTTTTAATAAATAAAATACAATAAATAGTTTGTACATAAATTCGTTTATCGACTTCAATATTCACTTTATCTCTTTCTAGTCTGCTCATATAATTTGAGAAAACATTTTTTTTGTAATTTTTGTGTATGGTTAAAAGAGAAGCAGTAAAGAGTTTAGTCATCGAGTAGTTGGATCTAATCCGAACTAAGCGAAGTTGATTTGCAACCGGAAGTTCGCTTTCGAGTAGTTCACAGACGGTTGGCACTGGTCCATAGTCTATCATTATATAGACTACATATTGATTAACGCACAGGTTGAATACGAAACCAGATCGTTGTTGGGGTACGATCCGCTTGAGAGTGGTTGGAAAGGCAAAGGCCCAGATTGCTATACCTCAAGATAACGCTGGTTAAAATATAACTTGGTATATTAGTATCTTGCAGCGAAAGATCAGTACATCTAATTAAAGAAAGTGGGGAATTAATTAATTATACAGTAAAAATTAAAAAGTTTATGTCTCATGTATGCGTACTACAGTTCCATCGCCTCCCAATATCTTGTGCTTAAGTTGCTTTAAAGTCCGTTTCCATTTTATAGCCTACATATTTGCATGCCAATTGTCCGCCGAAAGCCTGTTCACTTGACTCCAGCTCAATGCTCACTCAAATCGCCGTCAGATCAGATCTTTATATGCTGGATGAGATGTACTTTGCACATCCAAAGTTTCATTTTGTGCCACTGTTGGCCGCTAGGGGGCGTGTTATGGAAAGGCCACCAGGCCATAAAAACCCAATGCGCACAACCGAACCAAATTACAATGTTGCAGCAAGAATAACAACAAGCAAAGTTCAGATGCCAGCCACTGTTTGCATGCAGCATAGCGGGCTAAAATGCCACAGCAGCTGATATGCATGAGTGTGGGCGGGATTTGTTGGTGGATTGTTAGGGTAGCGCGGGGAAGAAAGGAGGTTGCGCATGGCCGTGGCCCAAAGGGTTTTGTGTGCCATTTGTGCCGGCAAAATTTTAACAATAAAATTTGCAGCAGAAGTTGCATGCAACATGAACGTTGACATTGCAAGGCAGTGGCTCGACGGCCGCAGCTACTACAGCCACAACACTAACAATAACAATAACTATGAAAAATAAGTAAAACAATAACAACAAGAAGGACTACATGAGTTGCGAAGTGTTGGGCAACCCGCTGCTGATTTGTGATATGGATGTTGGGATGTCACATGCCGGATCAACATGCAAATTAGGCTGGTGGCTGGCGGCTGGCGACTGGCAAGTGCAGATGGCTTTTTGATTGGCTGTCATGGCAGTTGGCAGTTGGCTGTTCGGGCTGTACGCTTTTGGTTGTTCCAAATTTGACCATAACAATGTCAGGCAACTGGCAGGCCTGAGCTAATTTAAATACGTGTATCTAGTTGCTGTTCTGGTAGCTAACTAAAAGCCAAAGTTCGCACTTGCCAGCACATGGGCAAAGTTTGTGGCCGGATCAGTTCTGGTCTGGTCAATAAGCTGTTAATCAGCCTTAGCCAAATCGATTTTGCGTATCTTTCGAATATCAAATTCAAAGAAATGCCAAAAAATGCAAACATATTTTGCAACTGGCGCGGAGCATGAACAGACAAGAGCGTCGCACATCATTAATATTAATAAAGGCTGTAAATAAAATGCCAGCGATGCTGGCCAAAAATAACAAAGCAGCCGCATATTTCAGCCAAACGAAAGTAAATGAGAGCACGGCTGTCGTACCGTGGAACCAAAACTCGAAAATTTCCCCAAAAGACTATAAATACGTTTTGTAAGAAATTTATAAATATATGTGCAAAAGAGCAAGGGTAGACTGCAGAGAAAGAAAAAGTCGGGACAGAGGAGAATTAAGGCAATTCTTCAGTCTTTTCTACTCAAATAATCAGTAGCAGAGAGAGAGAGAAATGCTTCAGATGTAAGAGAAAATGTGTTCTTAGGTAGAGAGTAAAGTGATTCAAATACTTCGATTTAATGTTAATAACTTGTAGGGTTAAAGTTCGGTTTATGGTAAAAAAGATAGGGAAATTCTGAGTTGGAGGTGATTGGAAAAAAACTCGAATAAGCACAATGTATTGTGAATCAATATATATGTCAACCGGTGACATTTATAGTTATAGCACTAATCGTTGCTTTAGTTATTGAAAGCCTGCAGAGAAATTCTAAATATTTGCTTTTTCAAACCTCAGGCTTTTATAAAATACTGATATCTCTGTCTATGCGCCAACTTGCGACTGCTCTTAGGATCATATGATTCTATAAAATTGCAAACTTTATTTTAGTTGTCTTTCTATTTTTCAATAATCCATTTTTTTATGTGCTGAGCAACGCAGTTGGTGCCACTGTGCCACGATGTCGCTGCTAATACCACTGTCTCTTATGCTTTTTACAGATTGCGATACTTTGGTGGCTGTTCGAAGACGCAAGAAAAAATGAACAGACAAAGAAGCCGAAAGAAAAAACGCGTCGAATGATTTCAACACATTTAATGCGGCAGGCCCACAAAGAGATGTCAGCGTACTGCTGCCCACGGCTTGCAATTTATTTGTATCTTGTAGATGCTTTAATGATGCCAGCATCAGGGGAAGCGTAAACAAATTGTGACCAAAAAATAATGAAGGAGAAAACAGACAAAGATGAAAATGGGTTAATGTCCAGTGCACACAATGGCCCTGGATCTGGCTCAAGTGGCAACTGTGGCGGCGACTGCATGTGTCAGCTGTCACACGCAAATCGAAGGCGAAATTTTGCGCTGTGCGTTGCGCCAAGGACATGGCAGGATCTTTGCCAAAACCGGCGTCAAGTTGCAAATTGCATGAGAATTCGTATGGAAACAGACCGCAACATTTTGCATTAGTTCGCTTGCAGCGCCGGCAAATTTATTTTTAGTGTGCATCGACTTGGGTTGGAGGCAGCTCCACAAGTAAAACTACAAGTTAAATTGAGAACGTCTTTTTGGCTAACCGTGCCAAGAAATAATATGTTTGGCAATTTCATGTGGACCTATAATGAAATTGTTGGAAAATCGAAACTACGAAAATAAAAATAAATATACATTTATTTTTGTATGCAGTGCAAGCCATACAATATTTTAAAATCCCATTAGCAATTACATAATATGGTAAAGAATATGCTGGGTATCGCTTCAAATATTTAACATAATTATCTATAATAATATCTTGCGTGGACTTCCAAATTACTATTACATATATTGATTTTCATATAAAAATATGTATCTAAATATGTAATTACCAACAATGGGCATGAATACAAGACGCACGATTGCCATCTATTTATTAGACTGCGGAGGTCTTTCTTGTATCTACTCTACACAGACGTTAGTATATAGAGCTAACAGGGAAGGAATGAAACAAAGAGATAGAAGGAAAGAGAAGGAGATGGCTAAAATTTAAATTGTAGTGAATTACAATTTATAAGATTTCTAAACAAGACTAGGAATAACTGAAAGCCTTGATAGAACTCATGAAAATCGCATAGTCGGCTGATTAGCAGACCAACTATTTTTAACGGTCTGGCCAATTCCAGTTCTGACTGCTATTTGTCCCAAGTCTTTAAGTGTATTTAATTTTCGAAAGATAACTGTTCTTACGAATTCATTTATGGCTTACACGCATTATTAAAACCTATTTAACCATAAAGCTGGCCACTTAGCTGACCAGCTCACGTGTCATGCTTCACCCACATAAGGCCAGGTTAATTGACCCATGCATAGGCGTTCTCACACATCCAGGTGGGCGCAACAAATTGCAACAGAATTGAAGGGCGGAGGCAGTGCAAATGCCAGCGAATGGCATTTTGGGCTTTGGCATTTGTTTTATCGCGTCGGGTTGCAGGTCAAGTAAAATCCCTTTTAATGAGTTGGCCTTTAGTTTGTACGCCGAACTGCCACTTGTCACACTTCCGTTAACCTGCTTTCTGCGCTGCAATCCTTGGTTAAAGAAAACAAAGAATATTAAGGAAAACTGTAACATATGATTGGCAAAGGTCAGGACATGTTTCGAGTTAGGTGCCAGCGCTGTCACCTTATTTGTTCGAGGCAACTACGATTACATGATGCAGGACATAGTCAAACAGGATATTAGCTATTGCTACAGGAGGGTGAACTTTAACCTGTGCCGCATTGCAGGCTAAACGATTTGTGACTTTCTTTTTTTGTTTGCATGCACATCATAAAGCATAAAAACGTCATTCCAACTCCTACTCAGCTGGCAATGATTCCCAGGAAAAGGCGACTGGGCAGCAGCGTTTAGATAAATAGAGAGAAAGCCAATAAACAGCAAAAAGGCAGGCAATTAAACGTAAATAAGCCTGAAGGCAGGCAAGCAGGGGCTGCGGGCAGCGCCAAACAAAATAAATTTTCGTGTATACTCCGGGGTGCAATGGGGCACTGACACCGCCATTGGCACCACATGGCGTATTAGTTATGCCTTGTACTGTGGGCCAGAAGTTGACTCAAGACACACCCACAGCCCACGCGCGTCCAAGCCCACATTTACTAGCTGGTCTTTTTCGCATGAAATTAGTTTTTGGCCAGCGCTAATTAAAATTTATGATACCTGTTTATTTACAAAATATTTACGCGAATTCCCAAAGAGCCAAACCAGAAGCCGTTACTGTCTTTCTTTGGCATTTGGTCAAGGGAGCAGCTGCGGTCTTTAAAGGATCAACACTGAGTCCGTTTTATGTGATCATAAAATCCAGCTAGAAAACTTGCTGACAACAGAAAAAAGTTGCAAAAATTAATTTAAAATAATTGCCATCATGATATATAAATCTTAGCAATGATTGCGTAGCTTGCCTATGAAATTCTTCTGTAGAGTCCAGTGTCCAGCCAGCTTTTCGAGTTGTCAGGTTTCTTTAGCCATTAAAGATGACAATTTCGAATACTTCAGATAATTATGTTTAAGTTCAAGCGCCCAATAACTATTGTGTGTGCAATATCGAACTATGTAACATATTGAATTGATTTCTATTTTTGAATTTAAGAACTTACCTCACTGTTTACGCCAACTAATAGAAAGACATATAGAAATTCATGGGAATTCTGTTAAGCTTTTTAAATCGCTTTAGAATATTTCAATGCTTTAAAATTAAAATCAATTCCTTATTTATGCATTCCTGACTTCTTAACTTGAACAATCTGATAAACAATGTATATGTAAGAATCTGCCTGTTTTCTGATTTCTGAAAGCTGCCTTTCCCTAATGATGATTAAAGAGTCATTTATGACAAACATAATCTAATTTACCTCTGTTAATTAATGTAATTATTTAATTAAAATTGAATAGAAATTGTTGCGTGCTTATAAGCTGTCAATTAAGAGGCCAAAATACTTACGCTTATGCAATATTAAGGTGCCCCCACTTCAGAATTGCACGCCGCAACCAGCTGCCCTTGCGTCATCAGCTAAATGCGATAATTGTTGCTATAAATACACTCATAATGCATACTTATCCGTCTATATACAAATATTTTGCATGCGAATGCTGTAAGAAATGGATGTGCCTCCAACCCCTGGTCACAATCAACTGGGCACCATAAAATCATTTGCACATGAATGATTGAGGGCGCGTTCCGGCCAAGTGACAAAATCAAATGAAGCGTTCAATTTTATACTGACTGAGGCTTCGTTTTATTTAATTTTACATATATTTTTGATATATATCTATATATATATATGTATATATATATATAATCTCATAAATTAGGTTTTGTTTCCTTTTTTGTTTGGGCTTTAATGTGTATGTATGTTTTTTTGTTTTACTTTTTCTTTTTATTTTCGTTTTTTTATTTTTTTTTTATTTTTGGTTTGTAATAGAATTTTCTGCCGCATATACATATTAGTACTCATAATTTAACTTCAATTTCAATTTTTATTTCAATAGTTGCGTTTGCTCAACTCGAATGCAGCCGCTCTGCCGCGTCTCATTTTTCATATCTTTTGTTGTTCAGTAGGTATATTTGTGTACATATACATATATATATATATATTTTAATGTATATAGAATCATAGGCAGACATAATTTTTGTATAACTTCTAACCACACATTCTCCTAAGAGCATACACGTAAATCATGTAGTCGCTGTTGTTGTTGTAGCATTCGGGTACCATCCATGTCTCACTGTTTACATTTATAGTATGATACATTTATAACCATAATAATTTACAAGTTAAATGACTTAGAAATTAATAGTAGGATTTCCTTTGTGGATTACCATACATTACATAAAACATTATACATAATTAAAGTTAAAAACGTTTCTCATTCATTTTGTTTGTTTTGCCTGCTTGAGTTGTAATATAATATTATATCATTTGCTCGTATTTTAGTTTATATATTATTTATTATTTGGTTTTCGTTTTTATTCCTGGCCTATGTACATAGCTTCTCTTTCAAGTATTTTCATTTTGTATATATTTTTTTGTATATTTACAGAGCCCTGACCCTGGGCAAATTAGCTGCTTGTCTTATTTTTGCTGGTTTGTTTCGTGTTTTGCAAAAGCCAAAAGACACAATAAAACAAAACGAAAAACTGAAATAAAAATCTCTCCGTTTCGTGCGACCTTTTTTTTTTATTTGTAATATAAGTCGAAAAAATTTGTAACGTATATATATATATATATAATTTTGTATATATTATAGTGTATATATGTATTTAAGGGGATTTATTGGCTATACATGTACAATTAATTAATTAAAATACAATACATTTTTGATTTCATTTGTTTCGTGCATTCTTAAAAATTGTGCAAAAATACATTTGTCAAAAATCTGTTTTTAATTTTTTGGTGCATACTTTTAGGCGGTGCATTTAAATCACAACATTTACATTTTAAGTGCATTGTATGTGTTTGTGTGTTTATGGAGAGCATGTGTGTGTGTGTGTGAGTGGGTGTATGGATGTGTTTAGGTTCTTAATAGACGTATACTATGTCAAGTTGTTCTAATCGTAAGTGCTCGGCCGAGTGTCTCAATCCGCGTTTTGCTCAAAAGTTTCAGTTAGGACGGATTGCTTTTAAGCTGCCTGTGTATGAGATAGGATAGTGTAGCTAATAGAATTATCATGATGTTGTTGTTATCGTTGTTCTATATATGAAATTGCCTGGCTCTTGGTGTAGCTGTAGTTAGCTAGTTAGATGGCTGCCGCCATCTCAGAGCGTCTACACATAACATATGCAACGATATTGGTTTTTTCTTAGCTTTAAGGTACTTGTGACTACTTATGTTATAGCTCGAAAATATTTTGATTCCTTGAAGAATTTGGGCTTCCACAGCAAATGTATCGCCGTGCATCCAAAGTTTGTTCTCTGTGTGTCATATTTAACCGTCTTTTATCTTCTGATCAAATTGTTTTGGAAATTAGTTCGGGAACTAAACAACTGTTTGCTGGTGCTGTGGAAGACTATTCTCTGGATGAACAAACTTCGAAAGGGCAGGGATGCAAAATAAACTCGTAAGCTTGTCTGTTAGCAATTGTTTTGGCTTTAGATAATATTTATTTGTGTTGTTTTTTTTTTTTTTTTGTTGTGCTTGTTTGTGCAAAAAGTGCTACGTACTACACATAAATAGAATACAAAATAAACAAAACGAAAATGTATTATTAATTAGCAGCTAATACAAATTCAGGAGTTTGTTTTTTGTTTTGTATACATTTATTCTAATTTATTTTAACATTATATTTTTTTGTTCTTTTTTTTTCATTTTTTACATTTTTTCATTTTTTAGTTAAGTGCCATTGTGGTGCATTATATAAATATTAAAAAAATTGTATCTTCGTTTGCATTTAATTATCACATAAATGTGCAGCAGTGCAAATTGTTTACGCTAATTGTTTTGCAAGTTTGCGTTTGGGCTAATTATATAAATTGAAAATAATTTATTAATAATGGGTGCAATTGCAATTTTAATGAATTGCATAAATATTAAATATGTGCAATTAGTAATGTATTCATTGTGCCATGTTTAAAGTTTATTTATGGTATTTTAATCGTATTTTTGCCTGCAACAAAGTTCGCTTCAAACT